CACACGCACACACACACGCACACGCACACGCACACGCACACGCACACGCACACGCACACGCACACGCACACGCACACGCACACGCACACGCACACGCACACGCACACGCACACGCACACGCACACGCACACGCACACGCACACGCACACGCACACGCACACGCACACGCACACGCACACGCACACGCACACGCACACGCACACGCACACGCACACGCACACGCACACGCACACGCACACGCACACGCACACGCACACGCACACGCAAACGCACACGCACACGCACACACACACACACACCCACACCCACACCCACACCCACACCCACACCCACAGACACAGACGCAGACACAGACGCAGACACAGACACAGACACAGACACACCCGTAGCCATTTTGGCTCAAGCCATTCGGCTGAGCTGGCTGCGCCCGGCGCCCCTTCCCCGGGGCTTCCCGTGCCCTGCGCAATTTCGCCCGCCGGCATGGAGCTGGAGGCACTGTTGTCCAGGTGCCCGGTGGCCGCCGCTGCCTTTGGCGCGGTGGCGGCGGCGCTGTGCGCGCCGAGCACGCCCGGCCGCCAGGTGGCCATGGTGGCAGCCTCCGTGGTCCGCGCCGCTGGCCCGACGCCCCACGGAGCGCGTGGAGGTGAAGGCGTCCCGGTGTGTGGCGAGGGTGTCACGGCTGCGGCGCACATCAACATCCAGGAAGACCTCTTGCTGGCCGCGCAGGCGTCTTTGGGTCTGAAGCAGAAGCCAGGCGTATCGGACGTCAAGCGCGAGCATCGGCGGAGAGGATGCAGCTCCTTAGCCTCGAAGTGCGGTCGGCTCCGAAGCTGCGGAACACCGAGGCCCACATGGCGGCGAGCCTTCCGGCGGCGGTGGCGGCTGCGCTGATGGGCTCGCCTGTGTCGGGCGACCAGCAGCCCGGCTCGGTGGGCCGCTTGGTGCTTGACACGGTGTCCAGCGAGGAGTTTGCGACGGCCTCTGACTCCCAGCACGGCTCCTTGCCGCTGGTGAAGAAGCTGGCGTCGTCCCAGGCGCCGGCCTCGGACTTCCTGCACGACCCCGAGAAGCAGGAGGTAAAGTTGGAGGAGGTCAAGTTGCTGGTCTCGGACGAGCAGTTCGTCAAGAGCGGCTGCGCCACGCCTACCGCTGCCTGCTTGGGTGGGCGCATGGGCGGGGCCAAGTTCCCTGTGGAGGCCGAGGCGCCGACGGAGGCCGCGCCGCCCTTGAAGCAGGCCTCAGCTATGGGAACCGCCGCGTACGACGAGGATGAGCTCCGCGAGGTGACCAAGGGCCTCAGCGAGCGCCAGTCCTTAGTCCTGGCCGTCGTCGACGGCATCGTGGAGGGCAATGTCGATGTGTCCCTGTCTGAAGTCCTCAGGCTGCTGGACGGCATGGGAGTGCCTCATGTGCCCCAGGGACCTCGTCTTGTCAGGGACCGTGTCGCCCTCCTGCGGAAGCGTCGGGCCCTTCTGAGGTGCTCGTCTGAATGATTGCAGTTGATATGTTCGTCTTGTGAGGCCTTCTGTTCTGTGCAGTCTGCGCCCGCACGAGGTGAAGTGTCATGCAGTGATTCCCTCCTGTATTTGTTTGTATGGGTACGTGCTAGGCCGCCTCCCGTTGGTTTGCGCGGATCCATCATGCAGTCGAGAATGTTGTCTTTATGTTTCAGCCTCCTGCTCTGCATTCTGTGTACATGCAGGAGTTGCCCCGAGTCGGAGGTTGAGGGTTTGACGTGTCGAGCGTGCTCTCGGGGCCGATGTGCCCTGGAGGTTTTGGTTCCGACGTCGTCGATGCTCTCTGGGCCGAAGCGCCCCCTTCGTGTCTTGGGGAGGCCCCTTTGGGCCGTGGCTTCTCAGTGAGGCCTTGGCCCACAGTGGGCTCCTTTTGCCTTTATAGGCCTCGCGTCACAGACACAGACACAGACACAGACACAGACACAGACACAGACACAGACACAGGCACAGGCACAGGCACAGACTCAGACACAGACGCAGACACAGACACAGACACGGACACAGACATGGACACGGACACAGACACAGACACAGACACAGACACCGACACAGACACAGACACGGACACGGACACGGACACGGACACGGACACGGACACAGACACAGACGCAGACACAGACACGGACACAGACACAGACACGGACACGGACACGGACACGGACACAGACACAGACACAGACACAGACACAGACACAGACACAAACACATATACACACATATACACACATATTCACACATATACACACATTTACACACATATACACACATATACACATATACACATATACACACATATACACACATATACACATATACACACAAATACACACATATACACACATGTGCACATATACACATAGATACACACATACACATACACACATACATTCACATACACACATACACACACCGCATTCAAGCTGAAAGGCATACAGACAGTGTCAGACCCGAGACACGCTGACGTCGAGAAGGCAGAGGCACAAGGTCTATGACTCTGCTAGCTGCAGGTTGCGCAGACATCTTGGGCAGCCTACCTGAAACTTGTGCGTCACGCTGATACGTCTTTTTGTTCGCAACCTGGTCCTCAGTTGTTTGTTCCCATCTCCCCTCCTCTTCCGCTCCCCCTCCTCTCCCTCCTCCCCCTCCTCCTCCTCCTCCTCCTCCTCCTCCTCCTCCTCCTCCTCTTCATGCTCTCCCCCCTCCCCCCTTCACCCTCCACCTTTTCTCCATCCTACTACCCTTGCTATTCCTCCCTCTCCCCCCTCCTCCACTCCTCTTTCTCCTGGTCCTCATCCCTCCCCTTTTCTCTCCCTTCCCCCTTTTTCTCGTCTTTTCCTCCTCGTCCTCCTCGTTTTCCTTTTCCCGTTCGCTTCTAGATTCTCCGACATGCCTATGCTCCCGCGCGGGCCACATGTTGTTGCCAGTCCCCCGCTACCCTTGCTTCATCCCGATGGAATTGTTGGACCCCGCCCGAAGGTTGTAGGGCTCGTCTGCATCCTCTCGAGGGCCTTCTCGAAGAACCCGCAGTGCCTGGAGGAGCTGCAGTACGCTTTCAAACAGCACAGCAACTCGAAGGGCATCCTTTTGCTCATGTACGAGGACCTTTGCCCCCTTCCACGACGAACAAACAGCGGCATGAACATGAACTGTCTGAGATCCGCGCGGATCTTCTTGGACCGGCGCTTCCCTCCCTCCACCCCCCACTCTGCCGGAGGCGCCACCCCTGGCGAACCCCCGTGCGCCAGGGGAGGCGGGTTCAGTGCCGCCCCCCCCAGACATCCGCGTTGCACCAGAAACCCAGTCCTGAGACCACACGGCGTCCATGGATTCCTGGTGTGGGAACGTCGCGCTACGGCAGAACCATCGACGCCCAAGAGTCCCAGCGGCACCCTGGAGGCACGCAGGATGCCGCTTGGCATGGGCCTCCCTTGCATGACGCTGTCTCCTGCTCCTGCCCCCCTCCTCTCGGAGGGAGGCGAAGCGATGCTAACACCCTAGTGCCCACCGCCAGCGAGGAGGTCCACGATGCCTCTCCGAGCTGGAGTCTGCCCCCCTCCCCCTCCGAGCCGCTCTGCTGTTGCGTGTCTCGGTCGCCTGCTGGCGCGGAGCAGGGCCGCCTGCCTCCGTCCGGGGGCACCATGCGGACGGTCTCGCCCCGCGCCCTTTGTGGTGGCCGAGGTGTGCCGCCGGGGAGGGCCGCGGGTGGCGAGGAGGCCCTGCAGCGAACACGTCTGACGATGTGCCCTCGATGTGGCCGGAGGGGAGAGAAGCGAGGACTTCGAGATGTCGCCCGAGATGATGTTCATGATCGGCCGTCACAGCCGCGCGCTCGGACGGCGGCGGCGCGGGGAGCAGCACGGAGGGAGAATGGCTTGCTTGGGGGGTGCTGGGGCACGAGGATGGAGAGAAAGAGACAGAGAGAGAGAGAGGGAAAGAGAGACCGGGAGGAGGAGGAAGAGGTTGAGGAGGAGGAGGAAAAGGAGGAGGAGGAGGAGAGGAGGAGGAGGAGGGAGGAGGAGGAGGAAAAGGAGGAGGAGGAGGAGGAGGAGGAGGAGGGAGGCGGAGGGAGGAGGAGAGAGAGGGAGAGAGAGAGAGAGGGCGAGTAAGGAGGGCCTGCTCTGGCATCCGGGCGCGCCCCGTCGCGGGGCCCTGCTGCGGGCCTCTGGCAGGACGCGGTCCCCCTTGCCAGGAGGACAGATCAGGCGCCTCTCTGCCAAGGCCTCTGGAGGGCGAAAGCGTGCGACCACTTCTCGCCGTGAGTCAGGAGGCCTGCGCCCTTCCGCCGGCCCCCAGCAGAGGGATTGAAGTCAATGGCTGTGGCCTTGCGGGGCCTCTCGGAGACCCTCTGGGGGCTTCTCTTGGGCCCCTCTGGAGGGCGGAAGCGTGCGACAACTTCTCGTCGTGAGAGTCAACGGCTGTGGCCTTGCGGGGCCTCTCGGAGACCCCCTCTGGGGGCTTCTCTTGGGCCCCCCGCGCCCCTCGGGCGGGGCCTTATCGGAGCCTGGCGACCCTGCGCAGGGCGAGGCGGTCGGGGCGCCCCTCCGCCACGCGCAAGACGGGGGTGAGGGGAGGGGGGAGGGCTTCTCTCAGGAGGGACAAAAACACACAGACACAATTATTCGTCGATGTCCAGGAAAATATAGGAAAATATGGGAAGTGGGAGGGAAGACGAGAACCTCCAAAATACTGGAAAATAATAGGAATATTTGTATTTGTGTGTATTTATTTGTGTGTCCCATGGCCCCTTCATTCTCAGAAGCGCCCCTGCTTCTTAGAAGGCGCGGGCCTTCTCTTCAGAAACAAGGCCGGCGCCCTCGAAGAAGCAGCCTCCTTCCCGAGAGGCCCTCCCCCCTCCCCTCCACGCCCCGGCGCGCGCCGCCAGGCCCCTCCGCCCTCCTCCTCGCCCCCCTGGTGAGGCTGGGCGGGGAGAAGGGAGAAGCCCCCCCCCCCCCCGGGAGGCAGCGGCTTTCCTCCCCCCCTCCTCCTCCTCCTCCTCCTCCTCTCCTCCTCCTCCTCCTCCTCCTCCTCCTCCTCCTCCTCCTCCTCCTCCTCCTCCTCCTCCTCCTCCTCCTCCTCCTCCTCCTCGTGGTTCGCTCCCTCGGATCGGCCCTGCGCGCCCCCCCCCCGGGAGCAGGCTCAGCGAAGAGCCAAAAACCTTCCCGTCTCGACGGCCGCCGGAGGCCAAGCGTGCAGGCCCTGGGTGAAGCTGCCAGTCGGAGAAGGGTGTGGAGGACGATCAGTGGAGAGGATCGGGGGGGGGGAGGAGGAGGAGGAGGGAGGAGGAGGAGGAGGTAGGAGGACGTGGAGGAGGAGGAGGAGGAGAACGGAGGAGGAGGAGGAGGAGGAGGAGGAGGAGGAGGAGGAGGAGGAGGAGGAGGAGGAGGAGAGGAGGAGGAGGAGGGAGGAGGAGGAGGAGGAGGAGGAGGAGAAGAGGGAGGAGGAGGAGGAGGAGGAGGAGGAGGAGGAGGAGGAGGAGGAGGAAGGAGGAGGAGGAGGAGGAGGAGGAGGAGGAAGATGACGCGGAAAGGAACACGGCAACCAGAGGCCCACGCAGGCTCCAAGGCGGCCCCAGGGGCGCCCAAGACGGCCCAGGCTGGTCAACGACAGGGCACGGCCCCCAAGGATCGGGGGGGGGGACTGAACCCCCAACAGTGACACGTCGATTCGTGAATTGTCCGTTTTCCGTTCGCGAGAGGGCGCCGCGGCCGTTGTTTTCAAGGCCTGCGCCCGCCAGGTTTGGGCCTTCGGTCGTCTTCACTAAACCACGTTTTACTAGAGGGAGGTCTGTCCATCCCCGAAAAAGGTTGTGGAGGACGATCAATGGAGAGGAAGCAGGTTGCCAAATAATTTCCAGATGTCTAGAACAGGTGTTAACATTGTTTTAATGTAGAAGAACACCTGAAAACATGTCCAGGGCATTTTCCGACATTTAACACACATAGTTAATTCGATGACAGGACTGTTAGGGTTTCCATTGTCGTGGCATCCACAAGGGGAAGGGCTTGCGAAGCCCTTCCCTCCCGGCCTCCCGTCCGACTGGGCTCGCACTGCGAGACGAGCTTCAAAAGTCGGGCGTGTCCCTCTACAGAAGGGACCTGCAAACATAAGAGCAGTAAAGAAGTAGTCAGGGGACGATTTTTTGTAGGAACATGTTTTGGCCCATCTTGAATGTTTCGCCCAAGCTCCGCCTGTGTGGGGACATGCCCGACCTGAGACAAGCTTCTGATATTCCTCCTTGGAGCCCGTTGCGCCGCAGGCTTGGCACCGGTGGAGCCCCCGATTCAGGAGAGACAAGAGTACCACTGCCACCGGCTGGGGGGGTGGCCGCTCCCTCCCCCTCGAGCTGGTGGCACCTCCTTCAGGGAACGCTCTGGAGGCATGCCCTGAACGAGGTGCCACCAGCTCGAGAGGGTGGGACAGCCGCCCCCCTGGCTGGTGGTAGTGTTGCTTTTGTCTCTGGCGACCGATGGTGAAAGCTTCACGGATGGCGTGCGTGCGTTTTTTTCAAGTATGGTTTTCGCCACAGTTCCGCGCGCATTCGTCCTACAGAAGTGCACGAGCTTCACGGATGGTGGGCGGCCCCTTTTCACAGAATGTCTCCCTCGCAGTGGCGCCGCGCAGATTCGTGAAGCAGAAATTCGCAAGAGCTTCACGGATTGAGGGTGGGTCGTTCTCGAAATGTGGTTCCAGTTTCGAGGATGAGGGCGTTTTTTGAGGGTCTGGGGCTCTCGCCTTAGCGCCGCGCGCACTCGTTTAACATTTTACAGCAGTCGATCGGATTCTGAGTACTGTGGTATTGTGTTTGACGTTCCAGGAATGGTGACCTGGCATGAGTTGAGACTCTTGAGGGCGCAGCAGTCAGGTTCATCCGTGGTGTTGAAGTCTAGTGGACAGTGTTCCGACACGATGCAGGATCGTCACGGCGTTGATGTCCAAGGAGTTGTGTTGTGTCACGTGTGATGATACTCAGACGGTTGATTTTCAAAAGGGCACTTCCAGCAGTGAAGGTACATTCCCTTAGAGTGTTACGAAGAAGGATCTTGGAGGGAGGGTTTATTGCAAAATCGTTGATGCGTCTTGGGCTTGCACTTTTCCTCCTCCTTCTCCCTGGCTCCTCCTCCTCCTCCTCCTCCTCCTCCTCCTCCTCCTCCTCCTCCTCCTCCTCCTCCTCCCCCCTTCTTGTTGCCTCCGCCTGCTCCTCCTCCTCGCCCTTTCCTGTCGCCTCCGCCTGCTCCTCCTCTTCTTCCTCCTCCTCCTCCTCCTTTTCCAGTCCTTCCCCTGATGAGCGATTCCTGCCTCTCGCACCCCGAGGCCAGTCGGAAGGGCGGGCTTGGCGTTTCGCCTGAGACGTCCTTATCATGTATGAGCCGGAGGCTTCCGAAAGTCGCAACAGTTTCACATATGGGTGGCGGGTCGCTTCCAAAGTGTGGCTCTCGTTCGAGCGCCGCGCACACTCTTTTGTAACAAATTGCAAGAGGTGAGCGGATGGAGGACCGGTCTTTTTCAACATGTGGCTCTCGCTTTAGCGCCGCGCACATTCGTTTTTTTGTTGAAAGGGCATTCAAGTCGAGTCGTGGCTCGATAATGGTGTTTTTGCACGCGTCAGGATCTTCAAACAGTCGTTTCCCGACGGGGCATTTCACCCAGTGGAGATGAATCCTTCTAGGGGCTGGAATGAGAACTTTTGGAGGGAGGGTGTCTTCCAACATCGCTGGCGAGTCTTGGGCTTGCACTGGCCTTCCTCCTCCTCTTCTTCCTCCCCCCTGGAGGAGGAGGATGAGGAGGAGGAGGAGGAGCAGGAGGAGGAGGAGGAGGAGGAGAGGAGGAGGAGGAGGAGGATGAGGAGGAGGAGGGGGAGGAGGAGGAAGAGGAGGAGGAGTAGGGGGAGAGGGAGGGGGAGGGGCAGGGGGAGGGGAGGAGGAGGGGGACGAGGAGGAGGAGGAGGAGGAGGAGGAGGAGGAGGAGGAGGAGGAGGAGGAGAACACCCACTATCATTCCTCCGCCTGCTGGCGTTCCCGCGCTGGTCGCGCGATGGGTCGTATAGTCGGACCAGGGAAAGCGGGTCGCCGTAGCTCCGCGGACGCGTGGGCGGGCGGGTGGGTCTGAGAATCGCCCGCGGGAGTCTCGTTGTTGAGCTTTGCATCAGCCGCCCGTTGCCCGAGTCGCACCATACTGTGGTCGCAACGGCGTGGTTGTGGGTGGGCGGGCCGAAAACGCCGCCTCACCTGAGGGCGCTTGCCCTGCCTGTGCCTGCAGGCCCTTGCCCACCCGAGGGAGGGGAAGGCCAAGTCGAGGTCCGAGCGTGACCTCCCACAACTTCTTGCCTGGGCCTGGGCCCGCGCCCAATCGCAACATGAATGCAATATGCCAGCAAATGCGCAATGCTAGCCCCCTTGCGAATGCATAAGAAAGACGATAACACCATGCTACAATCCGTCATCCCTGCTCGCTGGATTACCCTTTCTCCCCTGACTGTAAGTTCCATTGCCGTGCTATGTCCTCCCACTCGTACAACGCGCGCGTGTTATCCGCGGAGGAGAAAGAGGAGGAGGAGGAGGAGGAGGAGGAGGAGGAGGAGGAGGAGGAGGAGGAGGAGGAGGAGAGGAGGAGGAGGAGGAGGAGGAGGAGGAGGAGGAGGAGGGGAGGAGGAGGACGAGGAGGAGGAGGAGGAGGGGAGGGGGGGGAGGGGGAGGGGGAGGGGGAGGCGGAGGAGGAGGAGGAGGAAGAGAAGGAGGCGGAGGAGGAGGAGGACCAGTTGAAACCCAAATGTCGCCAATGACGTTGGAACTAACCTTCCCTCGAAGCTCCCTCTTCATAGGCCCCTACAGCGGTTCATTCCCACTGAGTGAATTGCCTTGTTGGAAGGCAACCGCTTGAAGATCTTGAAGCGTGCCAAACATTGTTCTCGGGATGCCAACGCCATGTGTCAACCTGACTGCTGCGTCTGGACGATCCAGAATCGTACCAGAACGCCGTTTTGGGACTTCAACACAGCGAATCAACATAACCGCTGCGCCCGCGTAATCCTGAATCACCCCAAAGCACCATGTCTGGTACGCTGATCATGGGAATCCGTGAAACTCTTGCAGGTTATTTGTTTAAAACGAATGTGCGCGGCGCTAGGCGAGAGCCACATTTGAAAAAGGAGTGGCCCTCAATCCGAGTAACCCTTGCAAAGTTTGAAAACGAATATGCACGGTGCTAAGGCGAGAGCCACATGTTGAACACCAGCCGCCCTCAGTCCGCGAAACCCTTGCACATGTTTGAAACGACTGTGCGCGGCGCTAAGGCGGGAGCCACATTTTGACAAGCACCCGCCCTCAATCCGAGTAACCCTTGCAAATGTTTAAAACGAATGTGCGCGGCGCTGAGGCGGGAGCCACGTTTTGAAAACGACCCGCCCTCAATCCGTTAAGCTTTTGCAGATGTTTCAAACGACTGTGCGCGGTGCTAAGGCGAGAGCCACAATTTGAAAACGACCCGCCCTCAATCCGTGGAACTCTTGCAGTTTTGTAAAGCGAATGTGCGCGGCGCCAAGGCTAAAGCTACATTTTGAAAGCGACCCGCCCTCCATCTGTGAAACAGGTTTCACTTTTCAAGCTTCAAGGTCATACATGGTGAGGGAGTCTCAGGCGGAACGCCCGGCCCGCCCTAAAAATTGGCCTCGGGGCGCGACAGGCAGGACTTATCTAGAAGGAGAAGGAATGGAGGAGGAGGAGGACGAGGAGGAGGAGGAGGAGGAGGAGGGGGAGGAGGAGGAGGAGGAGAGGAGGAGGAGGAGAGGAGGACGAGGATGACGAGGAGGAGGAGGGAGGAAGATGAGGAGGAGGAGGAGGAGGAGGAGGAAGAGGAGAAGGAAGAGGAGGAGGAGGAGGAGGAGAGGAGGGGAAGGGGAGAGGGGGGGGGGGGGAAGGGGGAGGAGGAGGAGGGGAAGGGAGAGGGGGAGGGGAGGGAAGGAGGAGGAGGATGAGGAGGAGGAGGAGGAGGAGGAGGAGGAAGAGGAGGAGGAGGAGGAGGAGGAGGAGGGGGAGGAGCAGGACCCTCCTTCCTGATCCTCCTCCGCCCGCGTCCCCCCGCGGTGGACCTCGCAGAGCAAGCACGCCATACCAATAATCTGTTTGCGCTCCGCGCGGATTCCTTGGATTCGCGCGGGGCCCTCCCAGCGGCGCCTCCGGCGCCGCCCCTGGCGCGCAGAGCGCGCCAGGGAGGGGGGCCCAGCGCAGATCCAAGAAGTTCGTCCAGAGCGCCATCAATTTGAGTTTATGGCGTTTTTTCTTATTCTATTCTCTATTATTTCTCTATTCTCTATTCTCTATGCCTTTTTTCTTTTTCTATTCTTTCTCTATGCCTTTTTTCTCTTTCTTTTCTATTTTCTATTCTTGCGCCTGCTCCCCCCGCCGCCTCCTCCACGCCTGCCTCCTCCTCCCGTGTGCTCCGCCTCTTCGGCCTCCGGCAGCACGCAGGCTGAAAGCTGCCAGGGGCCCAGCCTGCCAGCCATCTACCCTTGATTTCCTCGCGCTGCAAGCCAAAAGACAGTCAGGCATGTCCCTCTACAGGAGGAATATAACGTAGTCCAAAAATAGTCAGGGGACGATGTCACAACGTTTTTTGGCTATGTTTGAACATCGTTTGATTATTTTTTGTGGTTTTCGTCCAAATCCCGCCTGTAGGAGGACATGCCCGACCTAAAACAACACTTCATGACGGCGGATCAGTGAGAATTTCGAGCACCAAGAAAGTACCGAAACTTGAGGGTGCTCACGTGTCGGGTCCTGGGCGGCGATGCTCGTTAGCCGCTGTTTCGATACTCTCCTGGGTGCTCGACACGATTTCTGGGATGTCGCCCTTGCGTACGATGGGGGCAACACTCAGGAGGGAAAGAAACACACAGACACAATTAATCGTCGATTTCCCAGATAATGTAGGAAAATATGGGAAGTGGGGGGGAAGACGAAAATTCAAAAAATATTGGAAAATATGGGGAATATTTTTATTTCGGTGTATTTATTTGTGTGTCCTGGGGCCCCTTCAAACACAACCCCAGGGACGTCTATGGATTGCCGTGCCTCGAGCGACCCCCGCCCGAGAGCGCGCCGCGAGATCTCGGGGGGCCTCTGGGCCCCCCTGGCGGCGCCTCCGGCGCTGCCCCTGGCGCGCTCCGCGCGCCAGGGAGGGGGGCCCAGCGCGGATCCAAGAAGTCCGCGCGGAGCGCCAAAAGGTGTATGTTTAGAACGCGTTGTCTTCGTCCATCGTCGTGCCTCGTCGAGCGATCCCCGCGGCCGATCCACGATTGGAGTTCCACCGGCTTCCAGACCCCTCCTCCTCCCCCTCCTCCTCCTCCTCCTCCTCCTCCTCCCCCTCCTCCCCCTCCTCCTCCCCCTCCTCCTCCCTGGCCTCCTCATCGCTGGCTCCCCTATCCGATGCCCCCAAACCGTGCGCAGCCGGCCTCTCCGCCAAGGGCGCGATGCGGGATATCTTGGGGGGCCACCTGCTGCCCTGGGCGCCCGCGGCGCCCGCGGCGTGCGCCGCCGTCCTCCGCCGAGGGTCTGGACGCGCGACACGGGCACGGGAACGTTTCCTTATTGTTTTTTTTTGTGTGTTTAAATGTCGATGTGTCGATATTTGTTGTCGTTCGTGTTTTTTTTTTGTTTGTGATATTGTCGATTGTCGATTGTCGGTTTATTTTCTTTGCGATATTCGAACTGTCGGCATGTTATCTGAATTTTGGCATTTCTTGATTATCTTGGGCACGAACGAGATGGCTACGGAAAGAATGGGTACGATGCCCAACAGCAGTTCCTGTTCATTTTGAGCAGGACTCGCTGTCCACGGCCGCCGCGGCATGTGTCCATTCGCGACAGACGGCCGCCCAAACCAACAGCGGCCGCTGCTGGTTTCGGACAACACTTGTTGTTGGGCATTGTACCAATTTTTTTCGTACCCATTTCGGGCGTCCAAAGAGGGCGCGAGGCGGGATCCCCCCAGGGGAGCACCCGGGCCAGCTTTTGGGGGGCCCGGCGGCCGTGGATGTGGCACGGCGTGCGCTCGGGGCTTCTCGCTTTTTCGGCCTGGCGTGCGAAGTCGGGCGCGTCCCTCTACAGGAGGAGGATTCAAAAATAGTCAAACGATAGTCTGAGGAGGATCGTTCTACCATATTTGGCTATTTCCCACAGGGGGAAGATTCAAAAATTGCCAAACAAGATAGTCAGGGGAGGATTTTGCTACCAGGATTGTGGCCATTTTCGAGCATGTGTTTTGACTATATCTTAGGTTTCGCCCAACATCCGCCTGTAGGAGGACATGCCCGACCTAGCCTTTGCGGCGACGAGCGGCGCTGCCCTGTGTGCACTTGGCGCGTCTCCTGCCCACACCCGCCAGGGTGGAGCAACGCCCCTGGGCATGGCGCGGGGGCTCCCGGGCCACTTGCAGCTTTGGTGCTCGCGCTGTCAAGGCGCTGCTATCCCAGGGCTTTGCAGCGGCGTCCGCACCTTGCTTCTGCGTGCCCGAGCTCCGCAGCCGCCTGCACGCCTCCTGCGCTCAGCTGCGCTCGTGCTCTTATGGGCACTGCGCAGGCGCGACGAAAGCTTGAGAGGTCCCTTCCAATGGGTACAGAGAGACCGACAGCGGTTCCTGCTCTCTCTCACTCTGAGCAGGGCTCGCTGTCGGCGTCGCCGCGGAGGGTGCCCACTGGAGGCAGAGGGCGGCCTGCCCAACTGCGACCGCTGCCGGTCCTGGAGAACACTTGCTGCTGGGCATCGAGAACCCACGTTTTCCTACCCGTTCCGGGCGTCCAAGCGGGAGGTCGGCGGGAGCTGGCGGAGGCGAGCGTGAGATGCCGCGCCTCGCGGGGGCTCGGTTCGGGTCGGCGGCGAGCCCAGGGGCGGCAGCTCGGGTTCGAGGCTCGAGGTTCCCACATGCCCTCGTCGCCTCGCGGCGGTTTCCCAGCTTGGGCCTGCCTGCGAGCAGCTGCGCCTCGTCGAGGGCTTTCCACTGGGTGCCCAGATCGTCCCGAGCGGCCGCCGGAGGCCCGAGCGACGACCCGAAAACTGCCGGCAGAGGAGGCGGGCCTTCTCGGAAGCCTCGGGAGTCCCCCGGCCGGCCTTTGCGCAGTTTTCTATAGGCCTTCCCCGAAGACGCAGAAAGTCAGGAGGAAAAGAAACACACAGACCCAATTAATCCCCGTTTCCTTAGAAAATATAGGGAAATATGGGAGGGGGGGGGGAAGACAGAAACCCAGAAAATATGGGAAAATATGGGGAACATGTTTATTTGTGTGTATTTATTTGTGTGGCCTGGGGCCCCTTCAGAAGGCCTCTCAGAAGGCGCGAGGGCTTCTGAGAGGTCCCGCCGCCGCCTGGGAAGGCCTCCTCCGCACTCCCCCCCCCCCCGCTGTCCGCCGTCGGAGGTGGAGGAGGAGGATGAGGCCGCCTTTGAGAAGGCCTTCTCCTTCTCACTTCCCCCCCGAGCTCGCCGTCGTTCAGGGCTCCTGGAGCCGCCCACATCCAGGAGGGGCAACACAAACACATAGACACGATTAGTCAGTCGCCGCTTCCCAGAAAAGTATGGAACACGTGTGGAAAGCGGGAGGGGGAGACGAGCCTCCAGGAAATCTGGTAAACGTTGTGGATCTTGGGGCTGGTGCCTATTGATCTGTGCGTCCCTGGGCCCCTTGAACCATGTCCCTACTGGGCAACGGCACCATCTGGCTGCGTCCGACCTCGTCCGCCCGCAGCCTCGATCGGATCGGGTGGCCGGGCGGGTCCATGTCGGGGGCCGCTTCCTCTCGAGGTCAGGCGGTGGTCCAGCCGTCGGTGCGGACCAAGTGCAAGTGCGAGCGGAGGTGCGAGTGCACGGGCGAGCTGCTGATTCGTGCGCGGGAGATCGCCGAGGATTGGTTAACGGGCCTCCGAGCAGGATGCCGTTTCCTCCCATTTTCTGGGGACGACGACGACGAAGACGACGCTGATGCCGACGCCGACGCCGACGCCGACGCCGACGACGACGACGACGACGACGACGACGACGACGGGGATGACGTCGACCGTGGCGGCGGCGGCTGGGGATGGAGGGCTGAGCATGTTGGAAATCTTTGGTCGCAGTCGATTTTTCCTCCCAATGCCCGAGTTCCGCCCGAACAGTTCGGCCACTCAGAAAAAGGGGGAACCCTGGGATACACCCCAAGGGGTCTATTCGGACACACCCCTGTCGATGATGGACCCCCCCACCGTATATCCCAGGGGTGGGCCCCAAATGGTTGGTCCATTCGAGAACCCACGAAGCCTGGGACAGGGGTCGACATATCCTCTGTTATTTGATTGGCCCTCCTGGAGCCTCTGGGGCCAGATAACAAATGATGGGCAAATGTTCCACCACCGCTACCATATGTAGGATGAGGAGGTCCTCCTCCTCCCCCTTCCCCTTCCCCTCCTCCTCCTTCTCCTCCTTTTCTCCCTCCTCCTCCTTCACCCCCTCCTACATCTGGTGGTGCTGGTGGAAAACAGGCCCATCAATAAACTGCTGGCGCTGGGCCCCCTGGCAGCGCCTCAGGCGCCCCGCGCGCCAGGGGATGGGTCGCTAGGGCCCCACCCCCCTGGGCGCGAAGATAACCCGCTTCCCGTGGGTCAGGCGATCGCAAACATGGATCAAGGGGGCGTGGATTAGCGACGGGTCCCGTTTTCATTGGAAATCGCGGATTTCTACCGCGGAGCGAGGCGACACCGGCCGCATTTTTTTAGGGCACCTCCCTCGATCCATGGATTTGGCGACCGCGCGCCAAATCCATGGATCGCTAATCCATGTTTGCGCGCCCAGAAGTGGGGCCCTGGGAGATCGGTGCCTCATGTAGTGGATGTGTATAAGTGTCGCCGCGACGTTTGTCTGACGCGCGACCTCCCGTCTTGGGGAGGGCGAAATCCGCTTCGGACGCGGTGGGCCTGACGTGGCGCTTGCCGCGGTGCCGGCTTCATCTGCTTGGAGCGCGGGGCGCAGGGTTTGCCGTGGGTTTGCCGTCGTGTTGGCGAAATTGCAGGCCCAGCAGTTGGGTTCGGCAAGGGCTCGGGGTTCTTTAGGTCCTTCCTGGGGTGTTCTCGGGAGCTCTGCGTAGATCGAGGCGTGGCTGGTGCTCCACGCGGGCTTCGGTTCCTCCTTCAGGCTCCTTATGGCAAATCGTGCGCTACACTCTGCCTAGCATCTTACCCAGCTTGCCGACCTCTGGGTGCAGAACAGGTCCGCTCTCCGAATTCACAAGTGGTCAATGCCTCTTGCCCGCCTGAGACGTGCAAGAGACAGCAGAAGCCAAGCAGAATCCAAAGGCCGAGTCGTCTCTCGTGACGTCGTCTCCGCTACTCTGCTTGCAGACGGGCGGGCGCATGACGTACATTGCATGCACATGACTACAACACATGCTCTTGAGCGTCAGAAGCACCGCCCTCGTCCCTCCTTCTCCTTCCTCCTGCTAGGGTGGGGTGTAGGCCTGGATCTTGCCTCACATTCGGGGGATGGTGCTTCCCATCTGTGGTTTCCCGTCTGAGGCATGGCGGTTGCCAGCGCTATTGGGCTAGCCAAGGCAGGGGTTCGGAGGTCGGTCCCAGCTTGTGCCTGTCTCTCTTGTGTACCCGTGTGCCCGCTTTGATGGCAGTTATGCCAGCGCGTGTTTGTCCACGCCACGTTTGGCGTTATGGCCGTCTTACGTTCTACCCTTGAGGCCTGCGACATCCACATCCTTCTTTGACCTCCGGGGGGAGAGCCCTCGTCGCCACAGCAGCTGGACGCGGCTCGAAGAACGGGCCAGAGTGGCAGGACAGCTACGGGGACCGCGTTCGAGCGGGACCGAGGGCCGATGCTTCCTCGCCCCTCTGAGGAGGGCGGAAGGCCGAGGCATACCCATCGATGGCGCTCGCCCACGAGCGCGAACGAATGCAGCATACAACATCGTGGAGGTGCGGCCGTGCCTCGGCTCTGAACGGCGCCTTCTGGCAGGAAGGCCCGCGCTGACCGCCGTTGCCCCAGCGAGGTACCTGCCCCCGAGGAACCGAGGGATGGGCACCTGACCCTCGGCGGACGCGTGCGGAGGTGCGTCGACTAGGGGGCCACAGGCGAACACTACCCCTACCCCCCACGATTTTTGAGGGGGAGGGTCACTTCGTTCGGCAGCGAAGTGAACCCCACCCTCCCCCTCAGAAATCGTGGGTGGTAGGGGTAGGGTTCGCATGTGGCCCCCTATCGAGGGCGGTGTGAACGGGCGGTGGCACATGTGTGCATCCCCCCGAACAAGAAGGCAGGGCCGGTGCCAGCGTGCACGGGGCCGTCAAGGTCGGGTATGGCACCGAGTGCCTCTCGTCTCCCCTCCAGGCGGCTTCAGCATGTCCTTCTTGAACGCCATGAAGAAAAAGAAGTATGCGAGAGAGTCCACGGTGAGCAACGACAGCACGGAGGAGTGGAACCCCAAGGAGGTGCACCAGAAGTTGCTGCAGGACTTCCCCATCCTCTGCTCTTGTGCTCCTGTGCCCTCTCCTCGTCCTCCATCTCCCTGTCCACAGCTTCATCCTCCCCCATCTCCTCCCCTTCCCTTCTTCCTTTTTCTTCTCGTTCACATCCCCCCTCCTCCGCTTCCCCATCTTATTCCGTCCCTCCTTCCTCCCTCTCCTCCGCCGTCCCTCGCTCCTCCTCCTCCTTCTCCTCCCTTCCTGCTCCTCCCCTCCTCCCGATCCTTCTCTTTCTCCTCTCCCTCCCGCAGGGGGGTTGGAGGAGGGAAGAGGATGATGATGAAGATGCTGATGATGATGATGATGATGCTGCTGCTGATGATGATGATGATGCTGATGATGATGATGATGAGGAGGAGGAGAAGGATGAGCAGGAGGAGCAGGAGAAGCATCAGAGGGGGGTACAAGAGGAGGAGGAGGAGAGGGAGGAGGAGCTGGAAGATTAGGATAAGGTTGAGGATGCAGGGCCCGCGACGAGGAGTGGAGGGAGAAAGGAGAGGATATCAGCAAGCGTCATATACGTATCTCTCTCTATATATACACACACTTCTCTGTCTGAAGATCCAGTCGCCTGCGGCGAACCCTGCCACTGTGCCTGCGCAACAGCGTCCAGAAAGGGGCTTGACGTCTTGCGCTTCGCTTCGCGCCCCGTTCGTTGTTGACTCGCTCCCTGACCTTTGCCTTGGAGCCGCGACCAAAAAAGTATCCTCACCCGCCCATCCAAGAAAGATGCCCAGGGGAGTTGCCCTTATCTGGGGAGCGTGGCACCCTCCGTGGGCCAGAGGCTTCTTGGAGGCCCCTCGGAGCCTCTCGGGATGTTTCTCGGAGTCTCTGCAACGCCTCTCGAGCCTCCTGGCGGTTCTGCGGGGCCTCTTGGGGCGCCTTGGATGCCTCTTAGAAGGCTCTTGGGACACCTTGGAGGCCTATTGGCGGTTTTCAGATCCTCTTTGGGCGTCTTGGGTGCCTCATGGGAGACTCTTAGGGCTTCTTGGGGGCCGCTTGGGTGTCTCTTGAGCACCCCTCTGGATGGGGGGGGAGGCTGCTTTGTTCCCCCTGGGGGGCATGTGTTGACCCGCCTCGGGTGGGGCCTGTGTTCGGCCCTTCATTGAATTATGTGTCCAACATCGGCTCTTGAACATTGTCCAGCATCGGCTCTGAAGAGGGGGTGGGAGATTTTCGGACCACGCGAGGTTCGAGGGGGGGCGGCCCTAGATAATTGTCGACAGTCTCACCCGGCAACAGTCGAGCAATCCAACACGGTCACTCCTTGCAGGCACGATCTATAGTTGTAGTCACGGGTAGTGGGCGGGAGCTCTATCCTAGTGTTTGTGTCGCATTTCCCAGCGTATTGTTTTCATACTTGCCGCGGTGCGCGTGTGACAGTCATGTGTGTCGCCGGTTTTTGTTGACAGGACTCGTCGTGAGCAGGGTGTGAGTGTGGGTACGATCATGTCGACCCCTTTTGTCGGATGCCTTCGCTGCGCGATACGATTGCCGAGCATGGTGTTGTTGCTTGTACTCCTACTTTTGGGAGTGGGAATATCGTAATTTTGAGGGTAGGGCCATGACCTCATCTGCGCCACTACTGGTGGAGGGGAGCAGGCTGAGTTATGTACGAACGCGAATGGGAGGTTAGTTGGAAGGCTGGATCCCAGACTTGCTAATGATGGTGAGAAGTCGACAACTGATCAGCGTAGGGAGGAAGACGCGGAGGAGAAGGAGATGGAGGAACACGTCACCTGGAAGAGGGTGCGGACCAGCAGCAACATAATGACCACAGGAGGAAGCGGGGAGATGCGGCGCAGGAGGATATCGATTATGAGGAGGAAGAGGAGGAAGGGAGAGGAAAGAGGAGGACGGTGATGAGGAGCAGCATCAGGAGGCGAAGGGGGACGAGGATCAAGAAGGGAAACGGACATGATGATGAGATGGAGGATCAGCATAAGAAGGAACAGGACTGGTGCGGGAGCACCAGGAGGAGCAGACGGATGAGGAGGAGGAGGGAAGAACACACCGATACGACCACCCTTCGGGTGGCAAGGAGGTCGGTGGTGGGGGAGAAAGAACCACGTGACGAAAACTGCGATGGCGGTGATGATGACGATGTTGGTGATGCGCTCTCGAGTTGTCGACGACGCGTGGTGACGATGCTGCGTCGCGATGTGGTCCCACTTTCGATCCCACTCGATCGACCTCAGCATCGAGACGCCACCAGGGCACCATGAGGGCCAAATAAACGCCACCACTACTGTACTGTGCTGGTTGGTGCTAAGTGCGATGGCTGGCTGCTGATGACAAGGTGATGGCCGCACTGGTGATTATTGTAGCGGCGACAGCAACGGCGATAGTGCGGAGGACGATCGGAACACCATCCGAAGGCTGTCGGGGCAAATATCAGCCATCACCACTGCGCTACGATGGCAATGTGACGACTCGGCGTCACAGTCGATTCCGTGGCTGGTGATGCAAAACCACATGGCGTATCGGATTCTCTGCGATCCCCTCCTCCCCAAGTCTCACCATGGACACCACGGGGACAGCATCGAGACACCATCGAAGCACCACCAGGACACCATCAGGACACCCATCGGGGCACCAATCGGGACACCATCGGAGCATCACTCGGGGCATCTATCGGGACACCACTCGAGGCACCAATCGAGACACCAATCGGGACACCAATCGGGGCACCAATCAGGACACCATCAGGTCACCATCGATCACACGATCGGCTTCATCATCGATATCATTAACGATCTCGCTATCAGTCTCACTCGATCGATCCCACCATTGCACTTTCCCGTTCCATCTCACTCTTGATCTCGCACTATGTCTGCCTAGTGATCCCTTATCGATTTCACTATCAATCTCACTATCGGTGTCACTATCGATCTCACCACGGACACCGAGAGGACTCTGACCGGACACCGAAGGGACACCGACGGGATAACAGCTGGACACCGACGGGACACCGCCGGGACACCATGGGACATGATCGGCACACCATCGGTGCACCAGCCGATCTACTTTTCGATCTCACCATCGATCTCACTCGCGTGATCTCGTTATCGATCCCATTATCGATCTCACCATCGATCCCACCGCGGGACACCACAGGACACCGACGGGACACCCGCGGGACCCCGACGGGACACTGACGTGACACCACGGGACACCATCGGGACACCATCGGTGCACCAATCGACCTATCGATCTCACCATCGGTCTTACTATCGATCTCACTCGTTCGATCTCACGATCGCCCTCACTACCGATCTCATTAGCGATCTCACTATTGGTCTCACTATCGATCTCACCATCCGTCTCACCGCGGGACACCACAGGACACCGACGGGACACCGAGGGGACACCGACGGGACGACAGGACACCGACGGGACACCAACGGGACACCGACGGGACACCGACGGGACACCGACGGGACAGCGACGGGAAAGCCACGGAACACCAACGGGACACCGACGGGACATTGACGACGGGACTCCGACGGGATGCCGACGGGACACCACGGCGGGACAACCTTGCCACCGCCCGCCCACCGCCGGGTAGAGGCGGACAGCGACGGGGCACCAACCACGGCGGGACCACCCGGCCACCGCCCGCCCTTTGGCGAGGGAGGAGATGCGTTCACGTTCAACGGCTCTTGACCCGCTCTGACCACAGCGGGGTTATTCCTCTCGCTGGCCCACGCAGCTTCGCCTCGCCCACGCGCACGACACGAACCCGAGACCGAAACCCCTTTCCCATTTTCTCCCTTTTGATCTCACCATCCAAACTCCGATGAGGATACTGCGGGGAAGGATAGGAAGATGAGGAGGATGAGGGTAAGGATAAACGGATAGGGCGATGATAAACGGATAGGACGAGGTCTTTCGTGGTGCTTTTTCCAGGGGGGACAGCCAGAACCACGCCGTGGGCAGCAGTGGGCAGCGGGACGATGATCAGGAATGATGATAATTCAGAGGGGGGGTGAGGGAGGCAGGTCACAAGGGAAGATCGAGGGAGGCGGGGTGGTTATGTTGATGATGCTGTTGTCGATGGGGATGATGTTGACGGTGATGCTGATGGAGAGGATGGACATGCATATGGTGCTACTCATGTTCTGCTGGAATCATAGATTTGGGGAAGTTGACGTTGATGATGCGTACAGTGACAATATGGGCGATGCGGGAGGAAAAGGTGGAGTAGGATGAGGAGAAGGAGGATGAGGAGTAGGAGGAGGAGAGGGGGTTGAAGAGCGGGTTGGGGAGGACAAGGAGGTGGACGGGGCTGGAGGAGGGGTAACATGGGGGGTGGAGAAGGGGGAACATGAGAGGGAGGAAGAGTTGGTGGGCACCAAGACGATTATGATGATAAGTTCATGAGGATGAGGACGAAGAGGATGAGGTTCATGACGACGATGGCGTTGATGATGATGCTGCTGATGATGACGATGATGATGATGATGCTGATGTCGATGATGATGTTGATGATGATGACAATGATGATGGTGCTGATGATGGTGGTGGTGATGATGCTGATTATGCTGATGGTATTGCTGCTGATGCTGCTGATGATGATGCTGATGCTGATGCGGCTGATGACGATGGTGATGATGATGTTGATGACGCTGGTGATGACAATGCTGGTGATGCTGTTGATGTTGATGATGCTGCTGGTGATTGTGATGGTGATTGTGATGATGGTGATGACGAGGACGAGGACGATGATGATGCTGATGATGATGAGAATGATTGTGACGACGACGATGATGATGATGATGATGGTGGTGGTGGTGGTGGTGATGCTGCTTCCTCTGACGGTATCAACGACGGTGGTGGTTGTGCCGAGGAGGAGGAGGATGTGCGATTATCTTTGTATTTGTGATCTTAATCGTGATTGTGATGTTGCTTACAATGATGATGATGAGGACGATTCGACGAGGAAGAGACACTCTTTCCTGTTCTTCCTGCCCAACTCCCTCCTTCCCTTCCCTCCTCCGCCTTCCTGCCCCGTCCTTCCACCATCTATCGCCTCCCTCCTCCTCCGCCTCATCGTCGCTCCTCCTATTCCTCCAGACGGAGGGGGGGGCGATGGCCGCAAAGGAGCTGACCAGCGACATGAAGCTCAAGAGCATTAACGACCTCCTAGGCTTTGTCGGCATTATCGGCAGCACCGCCTTCTACAACCCAGCCTCCGAGGGCGCCTTAGCTGGCCCCCGTCCTCTCGCTGCTCCTGGTCGCCCCCCACCCCGCCAGTTATCCCTCCCTCGTCGTCGTGCTCCTCCTCAGCCTTCTCCCCTTCTCATTCCCTGCTCGTCCTCTTCGTCCTCGTCGCCGTTCTCATCCTCCTCCCCCCTCCTCCATCCTCCCGTCGCCCCTCCACAGCTGCACATTATGAATACTACTCTCCGCTCTTCCCTGACCCTGTCTTGAAGATGCTCGACCCTCTCCGAGTATCGTTTTGACGCACCAGTTTTCAAGCGTATTTATCGCATAAATGTTTTGCAATCCTATGGTTCCCGGAGTTTCAGAATCCTGCTCTCGCTGCAGCGTGGGCCTCATTGTCGGATCGGCGCGTTGCTCCCGTCGTGCAGAATGGCACTCTCGCCCCAGCGCGAACCACTGTTCTGGATCCGGGTCTGTTTCCATCGTTGTCGCCCCCCCCATTTCCCCTCCTCAGCCTTCCCCTGGACCTCCTGCTCCTCCCGCTTCTTCCACTGCAGCTTATGCTGCTTCTGTTCGTCCTCGTCCTCATGCTTCCTCATCCTGCTCCTGTTCCTCCTGCTCATTCTCCTGCTCATCCTCCACCTCCCCCTACCATGTACGCAGCTCTCCTGTTCTCTATTGTACATAACACGGTAGGGGTCCTCTTCGGAGTTCCAGGTCCGCTATGACAGCATCGGCGGATGTATTAGAAACAACGCGCTCAGAAGGGATCGGTGGGATGGGTAGGATGTCAGATATGGCGCGAGCGAACCTAGCTTGTCCTTCCTCTCCTCTCCCTTCTCCCTTACCCGTCCTCCTCCTCCCTCCTCCTCCTCCTCCTCCTCCTCCTCCTCCTCCTCCTCCTCCTGCCCCCCCTCCTCCTCCCTCCTCATTCTCCTCACCCTCCTCTCCTCCCTCCTCCTCCTCCGCCTCTTCCTCCTCTTCTTTTTCCTCCTCCTTCTCCTCCTCGTCGTCGTCCTCCTCCGCCTCTTCCTCCTCCTCCCTCCACGCCTCTCACCCGCCCTCGCACGTGCGCGCCCTCGCTCGACAGGGTGCTCGCGGGTGGGTGGGCGGGGCAGGGAAAGGAGGAGGTAGAGGAGGATTCAGGGGGTGATGATGATGATGATGCTGATGATGCTGATGATGCTGATGATGATGACGCGGATGATGATGATGATGATGATGATGATGATGATGATGATGATGATGATGATGATGATGATGATGATGATGATGATGATGATGAAGATGACGATGATGACGATGATGAGGATGCTGATGCTGCTGATGATGATGATGCTGATGCTGCTGATGATGCTGATGATGATGATGATGATGATGATGATGATGATGATGATGATGATGATGATGATGATGATGATGATGATGATGATGATGATGATGATGATGATGATGATGATGATGATGATGATGATGATGCTGATGATGATGATGATGATGATGATGATGATGATGATGATGATGCTAATGATGATGATGCTGATGATGATGCTGGCGATGCTGATGCTGCTGATGGTGACGATGCTGATGCTGATGATGATGATGATGACGATGTTGATGCTGATTATGAAGATGTTGTTGATACTGATGCTGCTGATGATGATGAGGAGGAGGAGGAGGAGGATAAGGAGAAGGAGGAGGAGGAGGCCCAGACATTTGAATGTAGTGTAAAAGCAGACAAGACTGATTTGATGTAGCAGCTTGTGTGCCTGGATGCCGCTATCATTCTCCAGGGCAATGAACAAGCCACACTTCTGGGGCGAAGCACGGATCTCCAGAAGGTTGTCGAATGGTCCAGGGACCCTGTAGGAAGATCGCATCGGTGGTCTGGAGAAGGGGAGGAGGAGAAGTATCGGGGGCGTCCGGGGGGGGTGAAGGGTGCGGAGTAGAGGTATGCGCTTGTGCGCGTGGGTGGCAACCCTAGTTGGGGCCAGGCTTGTCCATACGTGCCTCGGGCCATGAGGCGCTAACCCCTCTCTTCCAGGCCACTCGAACAGGAAATTGGGAGGAGGAGGATGTTTCGAAAGAAGACGAGGAGGACAAGATGGCCATTGCTCCTACCGAGTGTGGCCGCAGACCCCGTCCGGTGTGGATAACCTCAGTTTCAGCGTATGGCACCTCGCGCGATCGCTAATTAGAGGAGGAAGGAGGAGGGGGAGAAGGGAAGGAGAGGAAAAAGTGGAGGGAAGATGGAGGGAGAATGAGGGAAGGGGGAGGGCGATCGAAAGGGAGAAGGAGGATGATGAGGTGGATGAAGAGGGAGGGGGGACGAAGTGACAGGGGGAGAGAGGAAAGATAGATGGAGGGGTGGATGTCTGAAGAGGCTGTCAGGGAAATAGGGAGGATGCCAAGGATGGAAGAGGGGGATAAGGAATGGATGATGAGGATGGTGTGGGATGTGGAAGGAGGAAAGGACGGATCATGAGGGAGGAAGAGGGATGGGGAAGGAGGGGGAAGAGGCAGAATTAAGATCAGGGAGGTGGAACATGAGAAGGAGGAGGAGTCGGGGAGGAGGAGGGGAGGAGAAGGAGGATTGGATGGCAAGCACGCGGCGCGGCAGCCCGAATGCGACGGGCGTCACCATGCGACGGAGAAGCAGGTGAGCCACCTGCCTGACCCAGACGCTTCGGTGCAGCTCTGGCTGCGGCAAGTTCGTGTCGCGTCGATGTGGCGGCGATCCTCCTTGATGTCTTCGCGCCGTGAGAAAATCACGACGGAAGGCTTCGTGCACAGAGGCTGTTTTTCTTTGACCTCGGGCAAGTTGACTTGCATGGCATTCCCCCCCCAATCCGCCGCCTTTTCCAACAGCGCCGAAACGAAAAGGCGCGCGAGTGCGTCCCGACTGGCGTGAAGTCCAGATTTCCTTTCGGGCCTCAGTACGCCCCCCCTATCCATGCACGTGAACATGCTAGTATCTGAGGCGAGCCTGCCTCTCATGTTGTTGCTTCCGGGGGCCGTGGCTGGGCCCCCGGACTGCTCAGAACGACTCGGGGCGAAGACCAGTCGCGGGGAAGGGGTCCATACTCAGGCCCCCAGGAGGCACAGTGCACAGACGAAACAGGACACTGGCAAGTCGGGGGAACACGGCGCCCTTCCCTGCAGTGTCAGGCTTGGTTGTCCAGTGCATTTTTTGGGGGCTGCGCTGCAGGGCTCGCGCCCCTGTCCCGGTCTACGCAGGCGGATTTTGCAGGCTTTGAGGGCCTTCGTCTGGGATTGCTCCCTGGAATGCTGCAACTTGCGCTGCTTTTTTGGTCGGTTCGAACGCGCCCCTCCTCCCCCTCCTCCCCCTCCTCCGCCTCCTTCTCCTCCTTCTCCTCCTCCGCCTCCTCCTCCTCCGCTCCTCTCCTCGCTCCTCCTCCTCGCTCCTCTTCCTCCTCCTCCTCCTCGTCGCTCCTCCTCCTCGCTCCTCTTCCTCCTCCTCCTCCTCCTCCTCCTCCATTTCCTGCTCCTCGTCCTCCTCCTCCTCTTCCTCCCCTCCTCCTCCTTCTCCTCCTCCTCCTCCTCCTCCTCCTCCTCCTCCCTCCCCTCTTAAACAGCACCAGTCTGCCCTTCCGTGCCCCATGGAGCTCCGCGGCCGAGGAGAGCATCTGCCGCGAGATCGGCGTCCGGCTCGCCGGCGTGCTGCCGGAGACCGTGGCGGTCTGCACGGGCGGCTTCACCGGCACGGGGGAGACCCGCCGCCACTGCGCCTCGCAGTCCTCGGCTCCTCGCTCCTCCTCCTCGCTCCTCCTCCTCCTCCTCCTCCTCCTCCGCCTCCTCCTCCTCCTCCTCCTCCCTCCTCCTTGCTCCTCCTCCTCGCCTCTCCTGCTCGCTCTCCTCCTCTCCTCCTCCTCCTCCTCCTCCCTCCTTGCTCCTCTTGCGCCTCCTATCCTCGCTCCTCCTTCTAACCTCCGCCTCCCTCCTCCTCCTCCTCCTCGCTCTTCCTCCTCGTCTCTTCCTCGCTCCTGGCACCTCCTCCTCCTCCTCCTCCTCCTCCTCCTCCTCCTCCTCCTCCTCCTCCTCGCTCCTCCTCCTCCCTCTCCTCCTCCCTCTCCTCCTCCTCCTTCCCCTCCTCCTTCTCTTCTTCTCCTCCTCTCCCTCCTCCTCCTCCTCCTCCTCCTCCTCATCCTCCTCCTCCTCCCTCCTCCTCCTTCTCCTTCTCCTCATCCTCCTCCTCCTCCTCCTCCTCCTCCTCCTCCTCCTCCTCCTCCTCCTCCTCTCTCCTCCCCAGTGCAGTGTGCATGCCGTTCGTCTTCCGATGGCGCGCATCGCGTGTGTCACCGACGCCTTTAATTGCCAGGGCAGAGACAGGAGGCATGCATCGTGCTCTTATCTTCTCTTCTTTTTCCTTCTCTTCCTTTTCCGACTCCTTCTTCTCCTCCTAAATGCACGTGATGTATGGATGTTGCTCTCTTCTGTCTCCTTGACTCTGTCCGGAAGATGAACCGCCCTCCTCCGCGTATTGCTTTTCACACAGGGTTGGACAACAGGTGTGTCTTTCTTATGGCCATTTGCCATCCGAGTGTTCTCGGTGTTTCATAAAGGTGCTCCCGCTGAAGCGTGGGCCTCGTTTCCAGATCCGCGCTTGGCTCCCGTCGTTATGAGTGGAGTTTTCGCACTAGCGCGGGCCATTATTCTTGATCCGAGTCTTTTTTCCAAACCATCTTGTGGTGTTGGGTCCTCGTTTTGAAGAGACGTCGCCCCGCGTTCCTCCTCTCCTCTCCTCCTCCCCCTCCTCCTCCCACTCCTCCCTCCTCCCTTTCTTCCCTGCGTTTCACCCACCCAGTACAGAGGATCGTGGCCCCATAGGGAGCTCCACCGAAGGCGCCAGTGGCAGGGTTCGCATGGCGGCCTCGGGCCATTTCGGCACACCCCTCACGAGGATCGTGGCCCCATAGGGAGCTCCACCGAAGGCCCCAATGGCAGCGTTCGCATGGTGGCCCTCGGGCCCATTTCGGCACACCCCACAGGATCGTGGCCCCATAGGGAGCTCACCGAAGGCCCAGTGGCAGCGTTTCGCATGCGTGCCTCGGGCCATTTCGGCACACCCCTCACAGGATCGTGGCCCCATAGGGGAGCTCCACCGAAGGCCCCATAGGCGAGCGTTCACCGAAGCGCTCCAGTGGCAGGGTTCGCATGGCGGCCTCGGCCATTTCGGCACACCCCTCACGAGGATCGTGGCCCCATAGGGAGCTCCACCGAAGGCGCCAGTGGCAGGGTTCGCATGGCGGCCTCGGGCCATTTCGGCACACCCCTCACGAGGATCGTGGCCCCATAGGGAGCTCCACCGAAGGCCCCAGTGGCAGGGTTCGCATGGCGGCCTCGGGCCATTTCGGCACACCCCTCACGAGGATCGTGGCCCCATAGGGAGCTCCACCGAAGGCCCCAGTGGCAGCGTTCGCATGGCGGCCTCGGGCCATTTCGGCACACCCCTCACGAGGATCGTGGCCCCATAGGGAGCTCCACCGAAGGCGCCAGTGGCAGGGTTCGCATGGCGGCCTCGGGCCATTTCGGCACACCCCTCACGAGGATCGTGGCCCCATGGGGAGCTCCACCGAAGGCCCCAGTGGCAGGGTTCGCATGGCGGCTCGGGCCATTTCGGCACACCCCTCATGAGGATCGTGGCCCCATAGGGGGGTCCACCGAAGGCCCCAGTGGCGGCAGCGTTCGCATGGCGGCCTCTCGGCACAACCCTCACGAGGATCGTGGCCCCATAGGGAGCTTCACCGAAGGCCCCAGTGGCAGCGTTCGCATGGCGGCCTCGGGCCATTTCGGCACACCCCTCACGAGGATCGTGGCCCCATAGGAGCTCCACCGAAGGGGCTCTCAGAGCCCTCTCCTGCTTCTGCTCCACGGTCAGGGGGGCGCCGTCCTCGTCGTCGTCGGCGCCCGCGAAAACGGCCACGAACGTGGCCACATCGGGAGTGCGGGCGAAGATGTCATTCACAATTGCGGTAGTCACAACTGCGTATGGTTGGGTCTTTCGCCAGGCTAATTCGTAGGTGCTGCCCCCCTCATTTCTTCTCGTCCGCCTTCCCCTTTTCCACCTGATCCACCCGCTGTTCGTCCAAGGCCTCCTCGTTCTCCTCCGCCTTCCTCAGACTCCTCCCTTTCCTCCTGCTCAGGTCCCCACTTCCCGTTGGGCATAAAACGGTTGGGTCTTCTTGGGGTGTTCAGATCCGCTATGACACGCGCCCGTGGATTCAGTACAACTCAACGCAAAAGGGACGGGATGGCTGCGAGGGCCAGCTAGGATGTCAGGTATTGCGCGAGCGCACCTAGCTTGTCTTCCTCGTCTCTCCTCTCTCCCCGCCTCCTGCTCCTGCCCCCCCTCCTTCTGCTCCTGCTTCCCGTCCACCCTCCTCTTCTCCGCTCCCCTCCTCTCTTCTCACCTCCTCTGCCTCCCCCTCTTCTCTCCTCCTTCTCCTCCTCCTCCTCCTCCTCCTCCGCCTTCTCGTGTTCCACCTCCTCCTCTCTCGTCGTCGTCCTCCTGCTGCTCCTGCTCCTGCTCCTCCTCCTCCTCCTCCTCCTCCTCCTCCTCCTCCTCCTCCCCCTCCCCCTCCTCCTCCTCCTCCTGCTCCTCCTCCTCCTCCTCCTCCTCCTCCTCCTCCTCCTCCTCCTCTTCCTCCTCCTCCTCTTCCTTCTCCTCCTCTTGCACCCCTCCGAGATCGCCTCCCCCCCTGCTGCTCCCCCATGGGTGTGCCGGTCGGGCGGCCCCCGGTCGTTTTTCTCTGGAGACTTAGGAGCCCCTACGAAAGCCGCATTAGTAGTAACAGGTAGAGCTAAGCTGAAGCTAAACTAAGCGAAGCTAAAGCGAAGCTGAAGCTAAGCTGAAGCTAAGCTAAAGCTACGCTAAAGCTAAGCTAAAGCTAAGGTAACGCTACGCTAAAGCTAAGTTAACACTAATCTAGAGCTAAGCTGCTGCTAAGCTGGATATAAGCTGACGCTAAGCTAAAGCTACGCTAACACTAAGCTAAAGTTAAGGTAGCGCTAAGCTAACGCTACGCTAAAACTAAGCTAGCGCTAAACTGAAGCTAAGTTGATACTAAGCTGAAACTAAGCTAAAGCTAAGCCAGAGCTAATCTGATCCTAAGCTAAGGCTATGCGAAAGCTAAGCTAAAGCTAAGGTAACGCTAAGCTAAAGCTAACCTAAGGCTAAGCTAACGCTAAGGTAAATCTAAGCTACAGCCAAGCCAAGGCTAAGCTAACACTGAGCTAAAGCGAAGCTAAAGCGAAGCTAACGCTAAGCTACAATTAAGCTAAATCTAAGCTAAAGCTAAGCTAAAGCTAAGCTGAATGTCAGCTAAAGCTAAGCTGAAGCTAAACTAAAGCGAAGCTAAAGCGAAGCTGAAGCTAATCTGAAGCTAAGCTAAAGCTACGCTAAAGCTAAGCTAAATCTAAGGTAACGCTAAGCTAAATCTAAGTTAAAACTAAGCTAGAGCTAAGCTACAGCTAAGCTGGATCTATGCTGATGCTAAGCTAACGCTACGCTAAAACTAAGCTACAGCTAAGGTAACACTGAGCTAAAGCTAAGTTACGCTAAAGCTAAGCTGATCCTAAGCTAAGGCTATGCGAAAGCTAAGCTAAAGCTAAGGTAACGCTCAGCTTAAGCTCACCTAAGGCTAAGCTAACGCTAAGGTAAATCTAAGCTACCGCTAAGCTAAAGCTAAGCTAACACTGAGCTAAAGCGAAGCTACAGCGATGCTAAAGCTAAGCTACAGCTAATCTAAAGTTAAACTAAAGCTAAGCTAAAGCTAAGACGAATGTCAGCTAAAGCTAAGCTAAAGCTAAGCTAAAGCTAAGCTAAAGCTAAAGAACTAAGCTAAATCTAAGCTGAAACTAAGCTAAAGCTAAGCTAACGCTAAGCTAAAGCTAAACTTAAGCTAAGGTCAAGCTAAGCTAAAGCTAAGCTAAAGCTAAGCTAAAGCTAAGCTAAAGCTAAGCTAAAGCTAAGGCTAAGGCTAAAGCTAAAGCTAAAGTTCCCAGGGGACTGGGGGAACCGCTCCCAGGGGACCGGGGGAACCGCCCGGGGTGGGGTGCACTGCCCGGCCCTTTAAGCTAACAGAGTAAGAACCGTTCTAGGCAGAGCCTAGGTAGGGAAAAATACACCCAAACATAGCCCCGAACTAGGCCTGTCCCCCTACAGGGGGATTGTCGACGAAAAATACAAGATACCCTAAACATAGCCCCAAAATAGGCCAAACATAGTCGGGGGTATTTGGGGGGTATTTTTTTTTTCTGTCGAAAATCCCCCTGTAGGGGGACACGCCCGACTTTACCCCAGCACCGGCCTGCCCGCCACCCCCCTCAGGCCGCAAACCAGCGGTCACTCTTTCCACATGTCGCTCTTGCGTGGGGTCGACCTCCTCGCCGTTCACGACCCGTGGAGCTCGAAGCTCGCGACAGCTTCATGGATGGATGGCGTGCGGTTCTCAAAAGGGAGCTCTCGCCGCAGCGCAGCGCACGTTCGTTTCAATGTGGCTCTCTCAACGGTTAGCGCCGCGAGCATTGGTCGCAACAGTTTGCAGGAGCTTCACGGATGGAGGGCGGATGGTTTTCAGAATGTGGTTCTCGCAGCAGCGTGGCGCACGTTTGTTTTCAGAGTTTGCAGCGGGTTCGTTGATGGAGGACGGGCGGTTGTTTAAAACAACGGTTCTCGGCCTAGCTCCGCACACCTGTTATCTATTTGTTAG